TAAATCATTAGAAATTCGGCAAAATAATGTAGAAGTATTAAAGCAACGTGGAATAACTTATCGTATGATGAATAAATACGAAGAATCACTAGCAGATTTAAATAAATCATTAGAAATTAAGCCAAACGATGAAGAAGCATTAAGTGAGCGTGGGGCAACCTACAGCATGATGAACAAGTACGAAGAATCACTAGCAGATTTAAATACATTATTAGAAATCAATCCAAATAATGCAGAAGCATTAGCATGCCGTGGAGCAACTTATCGTATAATGTGCAGGCACGAAGAATCATTAGCAGATTTAAATAAATTATTAGAAATCAATCTAAATAAGTCTTATAACCTAAAAGTTGAACCATTTTAATTGACCCTTTGGCTTTAAAATTACACCCAGCCTCTAAAAATATATGTGGTAATGAAAACCACTAGTGATATAAACCAATTTTCTTTTAATTAAAATAAATTAAATAATTAATATAATACTTTGCTTTTAGTAAAATTTGAATTATTTTTCTGTTTCATACACAATTTTTTATATTATTTTTAAAATAAATTATAATTTTTAAATAAATAAACAATATTTTAGATATAAGAAATCAAAAAACTTGTCAAAATCCTAAAATTATTATGGTACTTTATGCTGAAATTGGCTGATTAATCTATAATATCCACTAATTAATTAATAATGCTAACCCTAAATCCTAACCTAACTCTAAAAAACCCACACAAAAATTCAAATTTTTATAATGAACTAGATAAACATTTTAGCATCAGCTATATAATAATTTTATTCATATATAATTATAGATTTAGTTACTGGTATCAAATAATGTAGCAGTTGCATATTAAATACGTAATTATCATACGTATTACCAACAAAGGTACAAGATATTGGGCACAAATCAGGTGGCTGATATTAATCCGATTGCTAATTGCTGTTATCGTGTTACCTACGGCGGCTAAGTCGAAACAGGCGTGTTAGATTTGGCGAGTGGATTATCGTCCGTAGGTAAGTACTAGTCTCTTATCTTGAGTCTTTCCTTCAACCTACTCTTGTTCTAATTCTTTTCTTCTCTATTGTCTCAACCGGGATTTCACTACGTCGAATCGAGGTTGGAGCTCTTCTCTTTCGTTTCGGTTTACCGGGCACGTGACTATGGCGAGCGATCAATTCCGGGTATGGTTGTTCTTGGGGGTAGCATTAGTACTGGGTTTTAACGATAATACTGGTGTTTACAGGATAACACTTTTACAGTTATTAGGGATCGGGTAGGTAGTTTATGTTTCGCAACTTGGAATCGCTCTCCTTTTGCCTGGGCGAATTGCCCTTTATTTATAATAAACTGTCTTGTCTATTTACATTATGGGCTTGTCTAGTATATCGAATATATCTAATTTATCATATATATCGCATATATCTAATATATCACACTTATGCGATATAGGCGATATATCAGATATATCAAATATATCCGATATATCTGACATTTCTGACATTCGGGATTTACGACACGTGATATCGATCACGTTTTCGGATCTCACAATATTAAAAAATTTGGTAATCTTTCAAATATGTCTAAAGTTGCAACTTCAAACATCTGAAATCAGAATGGTTTTAAAATAACCAGTTAATGCATACATGAAGATCTAGTTTTGTAGGTTAATTCAGTTGTCTATAAGTTAATTGTCTATAAAATAGATTTGTCTGTGAATTGATTGTCTTTGAACTGAGATGTCACCAAGATGATTTTTTTATAAAATGATACGTACCCGAACTCTGTCTGGCCAATTTGACGCACCTCAAAATCTAATGTATCTCTTTCAAACCAATCCTATCGATTTGCCCTTTGTCAAGAAAATTTTTGGGCTGCTGAAGATCACTTCCGATAGATCTTGCGTGACACAAACGTAAACATACAACAATTCACTAACATATGACCTCTAAATAGAATTCTTGGCATGAAATTTTAGTTAACGTTAAGAACGCCCTTTTTAATACCAAATATATATGGAAGTATATTATCGTTTTAGAGCAATTATGTATTAATTAATACGATAATAGTACCGGACAACATTAGTTCATGAAGGTGACAAGGTATCTAAAAGCAGATAAAATACACTTAATAAATGTATATACAGCCAAACAAAGAAATATTTATTCAGCAACTTTCGAATAAATAATTAAATTGTTTATAATTCTTACACAAAAAAAAAACAAATTCTTATAATCGTTTTTTAAGTTCAAATAACTTGCGGTGGTGATGATAATTCTTCTATATATGATGTTGCTGGTTGTTATTATATAATTATAATATTGGGAATTATTTTACCATTATATTTTATTAGAAAACTTCATAGAAGGACCAGAAATTGAATGAATCAATTTTTCAATTAATCTCATTAAATTAAAATTCCAATAAAACTTTGGATGATTGGAAATGTTTTATTAAAAGGCTCTCTTTTTTATCTTTAAGGGATTTAAATCCTAGATACCTATCGTGTCATGTATGATAAGCTTTTGACACGGTGTTGTAACTCCGAAAGATATAAATTTTAATGCCTAGAATGGATAACCTGGTTTTAGTAAATTACATTATCATTTATGCAAAATATCACGACAAAAAATTTCACATGATAATACGTATAATTCAAACAAATAACATCGATATTGGTCATATAAAAATAACAGGAAAATTTTCTCATTCAGTTTTAATGTTACTCACGTGTTTCATGTATTGTGAAGCAGTATATGGAATGGCATTAACTCCAACGAAATATCCTGTTATTTTCATCGAATGACCAATATATTAAATATCACAAATAATGATCCTTATTCTTATTTATACTCTGCGTTCTAAAAACCATAATTTAATTTTCCATATATTGATAACTCATTTTATTAATGAACTTACGTTCCTGGTTTTGCGTGACAATCGCGTTAAATTTAGTTTACCTATCGCTATATATAGAAAATATTAATGGTCTCACATTTATACGTAATTACATACGCACGTAACGGTAAATATTTCTTAATGTGGAGTCTCTACCTAAATAAAATTTTAAAATCTCCACTAAGCTTTTCTCACAAGGATCTTTTTTTTTTAAAAAAAAAATTAACATTCCAATAATCAAGATGAGCTCAATTGGAGAACGTTGCAATTGCTTTTCTTTTAAAACATGGGCTATTATTATAACATTTATCAGTCTGGCAAGTTATTTATAAATGAAATATAATATTTTTTATGCCAATATATTTTTGTAAACTTTCTAAATACTTAGGGTGCATTAATATTTGATTTCGTTTTTATTTATGTAATCACAAGTGACTATCGTAAGTGTTATTTTATTCATTCTCATTTCTTTTGCTATCGCTGTATGTTAATATTATTAATCTGTATAGGTAGTACTGGTGTAATTGTATATTTAGTTATATGTGGCCTGTTCATTCCTGTATATATTTTTGGACTTGTTGCTTGCTTTTATGAGGTATTATTATATAAGTGTGATGTTATGATTTTGATAATTATGAAATTAACTTTTTTTTCTTATATAAGAAAAATGCAAAACGTGAACTAAATCTTCTTAAGGCCTATTTGATTCTTTATATTATTTCTGTGACTTTTGGAGTGCCAATTGCTATGGTTTCAATTATTATTATTATTGTAACTAAAGAAACATTCCTGAAATATTGTAATGGCGCATTTAATTCGTCGGGTTTTTGTGATAATAGTTATAATATATATGCAGCTTTGATGATCATTGCCTATATTTTGTCTATTCCTTTCATGGTATGGAAACGTTATTTGCATTTTTGTTGCTATTAAACAATACGAAATAATTGACCGTTTATGTTTTATAGATATTTTTTGCCGTGGTTATTCTTAAATATTATAAGAAAAAAAATAATGATTTAAAAAAGGAAACCCATACGGGTGTATAATATAAGAATTTATGTGATTCTATAGGATTGTTTATGCCTTACCGATTTTCCATTCACTTTTTTATATTTCCCGCCTTTGCAAACATATCAAATGTAACAAATTGGTATCTATTTAATTATTACTATTACTATAATGTAATAACCAACCATAAAATATTACATAAAAAAATCACATTTATCCTAACTAGAGATGGGATTCTGCGCATGTTGCGCAGGCATTGTTTGATACTGTGCACTATTCAATGTAAAGTTACATTACAATTTCGTAAGTTACAATGTAATTTACATGAAATGTAACAAAGTAATTTATGTAATACATCCCTACCTGCGCAATTATACTTTTTCACGACCCGTTAATATAAATATAAATGCATAAATTTTTTATTCGGAAGTATGCAAGAAAAACTGCGTCAAATTAAATTAAAGTTGATACTTCATGCTCTTCCCTTTAAAAAACTCAAGCGCCTAGTTACTATTCATTTATTATAATATTCTCACTAATATTTTATTTAACTTTTATAAATCAGCTTTTTTCTACACATCTTAACATTTTTTAATAATAATTTTATTTTAGAACATTTAAATAATTAAATAAATGAAATTTTCTAAAGTAAAATCTACTAAATAAATATATATATTAGAAGTTAGAAAGGTGACCAAATTAATTCATGTTCATTACACACCATTCTCGTAAAATAAATATATGCTCTTTGTCATAGGATGAGCAAATCTGGCATTTTTTGAATCCACTGCGCAGTCTGCCGCATTATGCAAGCCGACCAGAATTATGCTAGCTGGCCAGAATTATGCTAGCTAGCCTGAATTTTAAAAATCACACCACGCAGTCATTCAAAATTCTGCGCAGACTGCGCAATTGCCTGTGTTTATCATTATATAATGATTTTATTAAAGATTAATCGTGAGAGTGGTGCAAATTAGTAGAATCGGTCCAGCAGTTGCACAAGCACCTATTTGTAACCTATGTCATTATTCACATATATAGCAAGCATCCGATCAGTGAAATTAACTTTTGCATTAACGTTAGAACTGGTAAATTATCATGCAAAGTGAAGAACAGAAGACTCCAAAATTTGAGATTGCCCAAAGACCAGAAAAATCAGCTACAATAGGTAGAATTATTGAAATAGAATCAAATTTTCTGAAAGTTAAAGTAAGTATCAAAGAATTATGAAATAATTATACAATACTATCTAATTTTTTTTTTTTTTGTCGTAGTTTGATTATCCTAAAATCTATAGCTATACATTTGAAGTCACATCTCAAGAGCAACAAGTAGAGAAAAGTCGAATATTTCAAGTTTTTAATAAATTGTGTGAAAACAATGAATTTGGTCAAAATATTTTTCCAGTATATGCAGAAAACATGATTTATTCATCTTATCCAATTGATGATAAGTCTTTAATTGTAAGTCTTTAACAAATTCTTAATCGATATTTTTAAAAAAAATTCATAATTGATTACAATTATTTACATAGACTAATATAAATGACAAGCAATATACCGCATCCCTTAAATTTAATGCTGAGATCGATTTTAGTCCATTGAAAAAATATATTGAAGATGAAGACGAAAATTATCAATTTTTGAATAATGAGCACCTAAATCTTTTGCGTATACTTAATACTTATCTTAATTTTAAAGTCCGCACAAATAAAAACATTTTGACACGTGGTAAAGGAACCTTTCCAATCCCTGAAAGACCTCAAATTATACGTCGTAATCTTGGGCTTATACATGGATTCTATCAAAGTGTTCGTATAGGATGGGGTAAGATTATATAAATACTGTATATGTTAACTGTTAATTGCTGTATATTTAATAATTGAGTAAAATTATTAAAAATTCATAGGTCAATTACTTGTTAATATTGATGTATGTACTGCAATTTATAATAATAAATGGAAAAAGGTGGTTAGTTTGGATAAAATCAATCCATATCAACTACAAGAGGAAATGATTAATGAGATGATTAGAAAGAGTGTTATTAAACCGACAGATAGATTTAAGAGAATTGATAAAGGCATTAAAGAAGTATACAAATATGAAAGCGATGAAGGATTAAAATCTATTTCATTCGACATTGATAATAATAATGGGTTCATGAAATTGAAAGGTAATGTATATACACTTTTATCACATTATAGGTCACAATTTAGACTAACAATGTTTGCTTGGTCTTTTAGCAAGGGTGCTCGATCCGCCAACGATGATGATTAATAATAATATTATTACTACTGAAAAGGGTGAATGGGAAACCAGTAAATTTAATAAGGTATTATTTGTTTTAAACATACAACCACTTAACGGCAGAGTTTTTTTTAAAATTATCTTTAAACTTTTTTTTCTCAATTGCTGAATTATCACAGGGAGCTGACCTATATAATTGGTCCGTGGTTAGTTTTGCTCCAGATTTAAATAAGTCTTCAATTGAGCCTGTAATTAGACAATTAAAAGAAATATTAACTGCAAAAGGATTAGTAAGTTTTCTTCATTTTTGTTTCTGTTATTTTGATAAATATATAAAAAAAAATTAATATGTTAAATAATTTAGAATGTACCCCATATGCCAAATATCTTGCAGTATAATTATCAAGATTATAAAAAAGTATGTACTGCATTACAGTTATAGTTAATGACATTAATAAATTTACAAAGTTTTGAATTGCTGAATGCCACATTGAAATGAAGGAATGTTGCGTTGCAATTCAGTAATTTTGTTGCCAACTATGGTTGCAGGTTGACCTGTTTATTGATTTTTTTTTTTTTTGATTATAAAAATTTTCTGTTTTATAGTCCATTACGAAGGCAGCCCAAGATGCTATAATTGATAACACAAGACCGGCACAATTAGTTATATGTATTATTCCAAAAAAGCAACAAGAAGAGGATGGTTTATATGCCAATATAAAGAAACTTTGTTATATAGATTTAGGCATTATGAACCAATGCATTCTTAAGAAGAATATTATGGATGGAAGAACCAAAAAAATTGTAAAAAATATAAAAAGTATCCTAAACAATATAGCATTAAAAATAAATGGTAAACTAAATGGTAAAAATTCATGTTTAGCCGATGGTTTGCTTGATTTCAAGGATGAAAGAGCTGTTTGTATCTTTTAATTATTTGACACTCGAACTTTATTCAAAATATAAGAATGTTAAATTTTTTATATATTGTCATAGCATATGGTATTCGCCGCAGATGTTTATCATCCCGGAAAAGAAGATAAATTAAAAGGTCGACCTAGTGTTGCTGCTATTTGTGGGTCAATGGATGACTCCGTAACAGATTATGTTTGCCGTTATCGTATGAATAAAAAGCTAAGACACGACGTTGACATTATAGAAGAACTTAACGATATGGTTATAGAATTACTTGAACAACGTGAAATTAAAAAAACTGACCTTCCGGATCAAATCGTTTTCTATCGTGATGGTGTTGGAGAAACACAGTTTGATAGTATCATAATTGAGGAATTAGAACCCTTGCTTGATACTCTTGAAAATCATTATAAATCTAAGGATCTACCAACACCAAAATTGACATTTATTATTATACAAAAACGGCATCATGCTAGGTAAATTGTTGTCTATGATATTTTTACACCAAAGTCTATCTTTTAATAAATTGTTTGCATTTATTTAGATTTAAATTAATCAATGGCGAGAATTGTAAACTGGGTACCATAGTTGATACGGATATTGTTATGAATAAAGAATTTAGTTTTTGTAAGTTAAGAAAATATTGGTTTTTACATAATTTCTGATTATTAACGGATTAATTTTAATATCGATATTAGATTTACAATCCCATGTTAGCCCACGTGGAACTGCCCGTTCTGCATACTATCATGTGATTCTAAATCAAGGAAATTTTTCCGCTGACGAGATTTATAATTTGACATTTAGACTTTGCTTTTTGTCTTATAGGTATTTAAAATAACAAAATGACACTTTTTTTAGAATAAATTCCTTTTATTTTATTTGAAATTTACATGCTTTTTTATTTTATTTTATTAAAGATGTAATCGTGCACTATCTCAAGTTACACCAGCAAGTTATGCTCATAATATTGCAAACCTTGCTAGATATTTTGTTGAATACAAATCTATTGAGACTGATCAAAATCATGAAAATCTGGGAAATCAAGGTGGTCGAGGTGACAGAGGGGGTCGAGGCGGCAGAGGGGGTCGAGGCGGCAGAGGGAGTCGAGGTGGTAGAGGAGGTCGAGAAAATCGAGGAAATCAAGAAAGAAGTCGTGATGATAATAATAATCCCAAACCTTCTCGACCTGAATTTGTTCAGGATGGAAAATGGTTGCGCGCAGACTTGAAAATTCAAAATGAAAAGTTTTTTCTCTAAGCACCTCTTTTTGTTTTTAGTTTTGTTAAGTAATTTTTTAGTTTTCCATGATTTTGGTAATTATTTTCATCAGTTTTATGTAATATCACTGTAACAGGCTTTTCCGACTATTTCACTCTTCGCCCTAAAATTATTTTCCTTTATAGGATATTTTTTAGTTAAGTCTAGACCAATTTAATTCTTGGTTTAACAAAATCCAATCTATTTTTTAAAAATTTACACATCATATTAGCCAATTAAATAGCAGAATTGGTCATTATTTTTTACATCCAATAGCAATAGAATCACGACTTTTTATTAATATGTGCCTTTTTATGCTCTCTCTCATTCTTATGAATTGGTTCATGTTAAACAAAGAATCAATTTAGAGTGGCCTAAATATAGTGATGCAATTCTTGGGTTATTAATTATTAAAATATTGATTATTGATTATTGATCAAATTATTAACTTTAATTAATACAATTTGGTTGTATATGGCGCAGCTAATTTGTACGGGGTGTATGAAAAACGAAAAGTTGCTCTCAAATGATCGTTTAGATACTGTACTTCACATATTTGCGGCCTAAAAATCTGACTTATCAAATATTATTAAGAATGAATTTTTAAAATTATTGACCGAATGGTGGTTTCTTTTTTTTACGAAGCTAATTCACCGTTAGTAGTTTAATTAACGATTATCAAAGTTATTAATTATTAATAACGTTAGAGTTATTAATTATTAATAACGTTAGAGTTATTAATTATTAATAACGTTAGAGTTGTTGATTATTTAATTAACTAAAACCTTGAAGGTCTTATCGCTACCAAAGATTATGTTTTACTTCCTCAATTCTTTACTTTTACAATATCCCTATTATAATATTTTTGCTACTATGTGATTAATTTGCACAGAATTTCAATATGCAAGATTGATGACGTCGTGCCAAAACCAGCGTCGTGTACGCGTTCTCTTCATTCGTGGTTTGACCTGGTTTCTCGCTTGGCTTATGTCCTGCGACAGGTTCATCATGCCAAGTACTACCACCTTTATTAGGCCGCTTGCAATTGAATTTTCGGTTAACATCACTTTTAGAACTCTTGTGGGATAAAATGAAACGAACATATAAGATGAAAAAAATATGAGTCAATTTGATTGATCGATATAAATCAAGTGATTGGTGAGAGTTATCCAGCGTTTTAATTGGTTATTCATTTTCAAAAAGAGACTTCAGCTGGGGGTGATGTTAACCAAAGAATCAACTTCGAACGGCCTTAACGACAGTTTATACAAAGAGTTCACTAAGAACGAATTTAACTAAGCAACTAAATTTAAAGATTTAAAAGCTCTAAAAGCTGGTTTATTACTTAAGATATATTCAGGGTCTTTTACAATTCCGAACTTGTGATTTCTTTTAAATTTATCAAATACTAACTCATTCGTAATTGTGTTTTTAGTTACTTTTAAACCATTAAAGTATTTAAAATACGTTAGATTAAACAAATCAAGATTATAAACAATAGAACAATGATAAAAGTGACAATGCACTTCTTTTAATAAATCAGAAAAATTTTGAGAAATAGTTAGTATTTTGAAATCTATTGTGCACATGGTATATGTTCTCGTTCATACTGCCCTTTTGAACCTGAAAATTTTGGTACATCGTCTAACCATGTCATTAAATTTTTATCGTCAGTTTCTTGAATATTTTCTAACTTATTAGAAGGAATCAATTCGATACATTTACCATATAATATGGTTTTAATTGAAACTCTCATTTCCACTTGTCCATCCCTCAGTTATTCTTGAAAGGTCATATGTCTTACACAAAGCATAAGAATGTTAGGTTCATTGCAATTTGTGCATATTCCATTAGAATCACCTTTAGAAAAACAAAAATTATTAATCTCAACATCGTAAACTAGGAATTGACCTAATTTTAATAACAAGAATTTTAGGTAAATCTATATATGCTTCAATTTGTGTTTAAAATTTGAGTTATTGCTCATTTGTCCTAAAAGTTATCACATAAACGTACATATTAACTTATTAGGATAATAATTATTATATGGGATCTTTGCCTTGAAAATGACTCTATGGGACATAATAATTACTATATCCCATAAGGTCATTTTCAAGGCAAAGACCCCATATATGTTAGACAAGATGATGACATGTATGTACGTACGTATCTGCTGATTTGAAATTTTGCCTTTTAAAAATCAGGCTTATTTTGTGATCTTGACATAGAAACCTTGATACTTTGTTGGTTACATCATTTTACGATTAGGAAACTGGATCGCGCATTTTTATTCAATATATAAGGAAGAGTGATCATTATACTATGCTATATTTAACTCTATGTAATCCTCGGATGATTTCGAACTTAGAAAAAAATGGAATAGGTATGAAAATTTCTGCATTGGTTTCAGCTAGAATATGCCATAAAATTGTATTGTTTTTAGGTCAAATTAAACTTGACCCGAGACAAATTAACCAATTAAAAAACTTCGGCCGGCATCAACATAATTCTGCCCGCACTAACCCTAAAATTCTGCTAGAGGTAGGGTTGTGTTACATAAATTACAATTTTACATTATATGTAATTTTAGATAAGTTACAGAAAATCAATTTTCATGTTAACTTTCACACGTCATACATAAAGTACCAGATTTACAAAATTTCGGCCAGCATTATTGCATCGATTGATTTGAATGTACAATTCGAAATGTAAAACCTATATCGCCGAAAATTTAATTTCAGAAACTAAATATCGTGTTCAAAATTACAATTACATGAAATTTCTATTTACAGAATCTTACACAAGCTTACGTAAATTACGTAAAATTACTGTAATTTAACAACCCTAGCTAGGGGTCATTTTGACCCGGGTCAATTTTAACTTTAGTTACGTATCACTTTACAGAAAATTATTTCGTAGATACCTGACAATCAATTCATAGCCAGGTTTATTTTAAAGACAATTAATTCACAAACAGTTTAATTCATAGACAGCTCATTTTGCAAACGGTTCATTTTATAGACAATCTTCAAAAGAGAACAACCCACGATTCCATGGTTCGGTTTGAATAATTTAATTACCAAAATGACCGCAATTTTAACAAGTCTAAAATCACATAAATCCAATCACTGAACGCTGAAATAATTAGAATTTTATAATGGTTTAGATATTAATGATTGCAAAATGAACTGTCTGTGAAGCGGACTATCTGTGAATTAATTGTATTTAAATAAACTTGTCTATAAATTGATTGTATATTAAGTAAGGTGTCTGTGAAATAATTTTCTGCGAAGTGATGCGTATCCGTTTAACTTGACCTAAAAACCAAATTTCGATGGAATTTGACCTTTACTTCAGTTTAAATAATTCCGGCGGTGAATAACGTATAATTATCCAAATGAACATTTATGATTATACAGTTTCATTGTATACTTTGGCACCAAATTTATTTGCAAATTGATTGACAAGACAAGGTGCGCTGTCCATACCAATTAAAAATAATAAATTTATATAAGCTTATCTAAGTTACAAATATACGAATGTATCATGGTCTTTATAATCTTCAATAATTTTTCGAGGATAGTCTACTGTGATCCATAAAAACTCATAAGGCTACGAAGTTGTAATTCATTTATTGTCAATAAGTATCGGTGTGCGATTTACAAGAAATTTAGGAAACATGGAGTACATAGTAAAGTAAAGTAGTACGGTATGAGATCACAGACGTGTGGAAATCATGAATGTAATTTAATAACTTATGCCAAATAATAATGTCACAAATACCAAGAATATCTAATATAAATTTATGAAAAAATGCTGCTTAAAATTATTAGATGCTATTATACATGTGTTAGGTTAGATTTTTTCACTAAAGGATACGCATAAATTATATAAGTTAGCGTTGAACAATTTTTGTTTCCAAGTTTAAGCATGTGATAAGCAAATAAGCAAGGCCTCAACTCTAGAAACGGTGCTGTTTATTACTGCAAATATCGACAAAGCCAGTTCTATAAAAAAAAAAAAAAATCAACCGATTAGGTCAATAAATTACTTTAGATGGATTCTTCATTATCAGTCAGGACCATTAGTTACATTATCAAAAGATGTAAAAAATAATAACATCCACCAACATGAATCATGAACCTAAAAAGCAAAAACTACACTTTCAAGTATTAAACAAATGCTTCCATCCATCAATAATTTAGAGCTTCAAAAAAAATTAATAATCAAGATAATGAAAAACATATAGCATTTTGAGAATAGACATTAATATTCTGAAATTTCCGTCTGTAAATAACTAGGGGAATACTACTTCTCTACCTACCGCTATATTTATGAATAACTATGTTGGTCTATGTCAAACAATAATCACGGGAAATCATTTGCTCTCATATGCAGCTTCGATTATACTTCGCTTGGGCAACTATAATTCATAAGCCACAAGGTCTGACATTGCCGATACCGTCATAAATATTAGAAATAAGTAATTTGCAACGGCCTTACATCTATAGTCGTATCAAATATTCATACTCTTACTTACCTTTTTTTTCAAATTAGAATAAAATATACGTTTTCAACAAAGATTAAATTCTTTCAAATTTATATAAATATAAAACAATGATAATTCATAAAATTCAAACGCTATTTTAAATATAATTCTGAATATGAAAACTTCAGCCTAAAGTAATTATGTTTTTGTAGTAATTACTTGAAAAACTTCATAATCCTCAATTTGCTTACTATTTGGAATGCCAATATTGGAATAATATCCATTACCACCAGCATTCACATAATTTCCATTAATATACAAATCCCCACCAAAATTTGGCCCATTACTACTACTACAACATATTGCGTAAGAATAATAAGATGATGAAATGCGTCCTAATTTTGCATTTGATATATTAGTAGCATCATTTAATAAAAAAATAAAGCTACAGTTTGAATACTTATTTTGGCCACTTGTATCCCAATCAACTGGATTGTAACCACCAACAAGTTTTGAATTTTGAATCTTCGCCACTACAATTGTTGCACCTTTTTTGTCACATTTTTGATGAAATATGTTATTTTGAAAACCATCTCTGCTACCACGGAATAGCAGAATAAATTTGTAAGCTGACGTGCTTTTATTATTACCATTACTGATCCAACTTGTGAATAAACGTGCATGGGTTATGTCAATTAAAACTGAGTTAATTTTAGATCTAGAAGGAAATACATTATAAAGAGGTACTGCGTTTGGAATCATGTAACAACGTAAAATGTCTTTGAATAAGTTATTTGGAATAATAGGCATATATGGTAATACTTTATGGTAAAAATCTGGCATGCTAATTTCATGAAATCTAATATATTGAATACATCCTTGTAAAGTTTTCTCTAATAAATTAAAATCATCTTGATTAAATTCAGTCACATCATCATTAAGTTCAGTATTTTGTGCAATTCCCCATTTGATCAATCTTTCCCAAATTTCACTTTCTTCCATTTCAAGTTCATCCATTTTAAGGATCAAGATTAACACATCTTCATTTAATGAAAGGTACTTATTATTTGTACCAAATAGAATGTCAGGATTTGCACAAATAGTTTCTAAAGAGGATTTTAAAAGTTCATTAAAGGCTTCATGACGAGTGGCAATATGAAGCGTTCCTACAGAATTTTGTTGTAAAAATTTTTTCTGATTATCAGTAAAATATTGCTGAACATGATCAATAAGTTTTGTAAGACCAAATTCATCTGAAGCAACCAAAAGATCCAAAATCGTCTCTCCTTCTTGATCATAAATATCAACTTCCCCACAATATAAAAATCTATTGATAACATAAATATTATATAATTTTTATTATTAAAAAACCATTATAATAAATTATTTTACTACTTACTTAAGAATAAGTTCAAAAATTGTTGAAGAGATATTAGGCTTCTTGAAGATGAAACAGCCAGTATCTTTGTCTTTTGTTGCCCAACCAGAAGTAAAAGCACCACGAAAATAAGTAGATCTGGTACGAAGAACCAAAGAGTGTGCATGAATTTCTTCCGTATTTGGCTCTTCACCGGTGTAAATAATTACATCATAATTTTCCTTAGTTTCATATAGCTGTTTATAATCTTCAGCCATGTCAATAAGAAACTTGGTACTCATCGTATAGAATTGAATAATAAATGAATAGAAACTTTATTGTCTGAATATTGTCACAGGCTCTAAAGGCGAGTTTCAAAGATAAAGCAAATGCGACGAATTGTCGCTTGAGAAACGAGTATACCGCGTAACGTTCTTCAACGGATGGTAGAGACGGATTTACGATTTGGCGCAAGGTCAAGGCGATAGTTAAGGAGCGTTACAAGGTAGGAATAGAGATTTTAAAGAATTTTTATTATATTTTATGGGTTCAGAGGGTCTTCATTAATAATTTTATTATTTTGTAGGGGCACACTTGTCTATACTACTGAACTATACTAAGACACTCCTTTCAAGAGGGAAAATTCCCACTCTATTTATAACAAATTGACAGCGAGAAGAGCACGCACAAGACCATGACTCTTCTCCCTGCTCCTATTGAACCTTATTTGTTCTAACCTTTAACCTCTTCATACACACAGCCTTTTGTTACTTTAGCATTTCTCACGGTCGTCATAGAGTCTGTGAGAAATGTTTCAGTGTTACTTGTCCCGGGGTCAGAACCAGCATTATCACCACCTTGTCATCGCCTCACACTTATCCCAAGTAGGTAAAGTGGAATTATCGTCCATTCCCAGTCTGTAGGGTGCGAACAGGTAGGTTCAGATCGACCTTTCTTTAATTGGGGAAGGCTTGTGTACTATCATATGGCTTCCTTGGGGCTGGGCGCATATTTTTCAAGTGGTTCGTCATGGGCACTACCGATTAGGTAAGTAGGGCCACAATGACGATCACTTTTCAGGTTTTGCGAACGTTCGGTTTTACCTCTGACAGTATCGGTATGGAAAGGATGCTTTATAGTTAAATTAAGTGACACAACGACTGATCCTTCACCCGGTGTGCAACATATAAAAAAATATTTTACAATACCAGATCATTCCGCTAGTACATGTTATGATTATAATTCAACACCATTTTTATTACAGTATAATAAAAATGGTGTTGAATTATAATAATAACATGTACTAACGGAATGATCTGGTATTGTAAAATAATTTTTTTATATGTTGCACACCGAGTAGTTTATAATTTTTTTAGAGCACTAAAGGTGGTTACTTATGCTTATTTTTGAGAAATAAGTAATTTTTGACAAAATGAAGGTTTGTTTTGAATCTTCTTGATGGTGTTAAGTTTCACCTAATCTTGGAATCTGATTCTTAGTTCAGAAACCTGGCACACATTTCATGCTGCAAATATATGCACTATGGTTATGTAATTGCATTGCAGATTTAAAATGTCACTTCGTTACTCGGCATGCCATCTTAGAGAAATTTGCATGTCACCTGTTATTCCCCGTTCGTTCATTATTATATTGCTTTTTTATTATATAGATAGCCGTTTGTGCAAATTTATCTTTTTATAAAATATGATTGGTCAATGCTTTGAAATGGTAAAGTTGCGAATTCAAGTATAGTTACAATATATTCGAGAATTTACGTAATATTTTATCAATATTGCTAACTTTATTTAAATTCTAGTCATGGTTTTCAAGAACTCAGATCGCAATATGATGAATTTCGATTACAGAAATGACTACAGTATGAAATAAACAATTAGAATCATTTGAATGCATGAGAATTATCTAGTAATATATGTACGTATAATAAATCAACATTCATACGTACTGTAATGCACATGCTCATACAATTTTGGGGAAAATCAAGACATAGATAGTGTTATCCGGCTAAGTCACGTGCCACGTGACAGGGCTAACCAAATAAGGGTGACCCGGCTAGAAAAGTCAGAATCGTCAGAAAGGACCTAAACCTAGGAAAAGTCCTTTCTGATCGAAGGGGCGAAGTAAAGTAGTCAATAAGGGAGGGAATACTGATGTAGTCGTAATTATAATAGTACATGTAGTGATGGGGAAAATGCGCATTTTATTAAGCCACACGATACGAAGTATCGGAGTGGCTATTTGTCTCGAATTGACATGGATACAACCATGTCACATGGACATACTGGTAAGGCTGTGTAACATTGGTGTATCCGAAGCAGGTAAGCTGAGTTTAGATCGAGACAGATATATAGGGGCATAGGTGGGTATGTAGAAAGCCGTCTTTTGTTTTTTCTGCAAACCCGACTTTCTTGTCTGGGCCCTCCCCCCTCACCCCACGTATTAAGTTGCCCCTAGTTATGTAAACTGGGCAAGTCTATAGTAGCATATAAAACCGGCTGTGGCTTGATGGTAGCCTCGCAAAATGAATCTGCTTGTAGGCAGTCAAGCACGGGTAGGATTAAATATAAAGATTAAATATAAAGATTTTAGGGTAAATCCCTTATGGCCGGCTGAAACTTGGGTCTTAGCCTCGCAAGAAAAACTTTTGCGGGATGGCTATCAAGTTCGGGCTCGCATTGGCAGTTTTTTATACTTAGCGTAACCGCCTCTAGATGCTACAGATTTTTTTTTTTTTTTTTTTTTTAATTATTATTATTAGTCTAAATAGCGATACCGATCCTCAGTATGTCTGCACTGCAGATCATAATGAGTTTGCATGAAAGCAGAAAAGCATATAAACCCGTATTTGCTTCATTATACCACCTAAGATGAGAGACAAAAAATAACGTGCGCATGAATGCGCATTAATGCGCACGAAATGTTTCATGCGCATGATATCGCATGATAAAAAAAAGGCAAAAAAAA